GATCTGTTGAGATTCGGCCCTTTGTTCCAAAGGTTTCCCCCACCTTCTGGCCCCCCACCCCTCCTCAAATGTTTTAACGATGGTCACTGCCGCAATCTGCTGCCACTCTGTGAGCCAATCCCGTGTTGCACTGTTGCCCTATGACATGGTGAACAAACGGTTGATGGCGAGTGTAGGCGCGTCGTCGACGATGAACCGCTTCTTCCATAGCCGTGTCAGTTCTTCAAATGTGATCTTGTCCTTGAGGTCCGGTACGTCGACGTCGTGGGAGGTTGCCAGGTGGGTCAACCAGGTCTGACATCCGCCCTTTGAGTTCAGGAGCAGGGCGCCGATGTACTTGTGCTTAGCGACAATCAAAATCCTGAGTTGCATCGTGAATGCCTCCCACCAGAAGGTCGGATCCTGCTGCGTGTAGTCGTCGAACTTTTCTAATTGGAAAGTTGGCATCTTTTGATTGCCATCTGCGTTCGTCGACTGCAGCTGTTGGACCTCGGTCTTCAAGGTATGCAACTGGGTGCTGATGGTGGACGGCGCAGTGAAGGTGTTAATGTCGTCGAGCATTGCTAGGATGTGGTCAACGTGTTCTTCCAGTTGGCGGCTAGAGGGTGCACTGCTGGAAGCCCCAGCAGTTGGTCCTGGTACAGCCTGTTCCAGGTCCAGCAATCGGGCATTGAGTGCCTGAGTTGCATGCTCGTGGCTCTGCACCTGTCTCTTATACACATCTAGATGTGTATAAGAGACAGCTGGAAGCCCCAGCAGTTGGTCCTGGTACAGCCTGTTCCAGGTCCAGCAATCGGGCATTGAGTGCCTGAGTTGCATGCTCGTGGCTCTGCACTGTGCGGCGGGGCGTCGCCAACTCCTGGGGCTGTTTTTCTAGCTCGGCCTGTTGGTAGTTGCAAGTATACAACAGCCGTGATACGAGCTTGGAGAGAAACTCCTTGTGCTTCTCTTCCGGTGTTGCCTCGTCGCCGTTCGGTTCAAAATGCCAGAACTTGAGTCTGTCGATGCTTGTGGCTTCATGCCGCTGCAGCAGATCCTGGGCTTCTTTGCGGCGAGCCTGGGCATCTGCGTCTGAATCGGCTTGTAGCCGCAACTTCTCTGCTGCTTTTGCCCTGTCTCTTATACACATCTAGATGTGTATAAGAGACAGGATAGGACATGGCACGCGACGCTGTTGGCTTGCTGCTGCATGCGGACTTGAGCATTTTGCATATTTGCACGGGCTTGAGTCAACAATTCCCTGTACTTCCAGACGGTAGCGGGAGA